TAATTTTTGTATTTTTAGTAGAGATGGGGTTTCACCATGTTGGCCAGGCTGGTCTCGAACTCCTGACCTCAAGTGATCTCCCCACCTCGGCCTCCCAAAGTGCTGGAATTACAAGCGTGAGCCACTGCGCCTGGCCTCCAGACGTCTTTGGAGCCATGAAGTTGCGAGCCCCACACAACTCAGTCTTCACCCTCTTGGTAGACGGGTCTTTCACCAATGAGGAAACTAAGGCACAGAGAGGCCAAATGGCCTGCCCGAGGTCACACTGCAGAGGTGTGATTTGAACCTGGGATCCATGCTTATTACTAATGCTTGGTCCCGTGCTCCAATCCGGCCTGAGATTTTTTGCCTCTCTGGAACGCCCCACCTCCCAGCTGTGCCCACCCAGGGCGGGGGGCTCCAAGAGCTGTGGACACAGAGCCCCTTCCCGCTTGGGACTCTCCCTGTCCAGTCTGGGGCATTACGGGACCTGAGCATCATCCCAGGATACAGCGGGAGCTGTCTGGGTAGTCGGGCCACAGGGACAACAGCCCACAGCCCCCTGACACCCACTGGTCCCTCCTCCTGCAGAAGCTACCCCGAGTCCGTGAGCACCGAGGACCCCTGACCCAGCTTCGGGGCCACCCACCCCGGTGGCAGCCGATCTTCTGCGTTCTGCGTGGGGACGGCCGCCTGGAGTGGTTCAGCCACAAGGAGGTGCGTGATTGGCACGTGGTCTTTCTGCTTCTGGGCCCTTCCTTTCCACTCCCACCAGCCTCGAGGTTTGTGGGCTCCATCTCTCAGCATAGCCACACCTCTATCAATCACCCAGGATGAATCTTGGGCCGCTATGTGTCTGGCCTGTCATAGGCAACCATCTCGTCCCATCCCCTGCTGTGCTGCGTAGGTAAACTGAGACCCAGGCCAGGGATAGGATCGTGGTCAGTATCAGAGCTGTGGTTTCAACCTCTTGGAGCCTTTGCAAGTCACGCCTCTGACCGCTCTGTGTTCTGGCTGGGGAGCTTGGAGCGATCACTACCTTTCTGAAACTCAGTTTTCACTTCTGTGAAATGGGATGATGATGTTTCACACCACGTAGGGCTTTGAGGGTTCAACGAGAGGGTCCTCAGACAGCACTTGGGACTGGCCCAGCACGTGGGGAGTCAGTGGGTGCTGGGAGCTCAGGGACTGAGGGAGGAAGGGAGGGAAAAGGGAAAGGGGAAAGGGAAGGAGGGAGAGAGAGGGCAGGAACAGGAGGAA